TCCTATTAATCCCCCGCTCAAAGGTCATTCTTCATAAAGCCTTATGCTGTCTTATATCCCAGCGGAAGAATAATTTTGTCTTCCATCCTCTTCTGTTTTTTCTTCTGTTAATGCATGTATCACACTGTATAGTCTTGCTCATTACCTATTTGTTTCCTCCCCTAAAATTAAAAATTCTTTGTGGTCAGGTGCCTTATTATTCTTTGGTACTCCAGGGTTTAATAAATACGTTGGCACACAGTAGACAATTAAATTGTGTTGAACTGGAAGAAATAAACTAAGCACTGGAATTTTTAGAACAAAGAAATCTTTAAAGTATTATAACAATTGGTGAAACATACTGGGAGACAAAGGCAGAAAACAAAAAACAACAGCATTTAAAAGAGAGCTACATGTACCCACTGGCATGATTAATATTGCTGACTCAAGGTTTTCTGGAGTAATGTTCCATATAAGAAGAGTGAATCTGAATTCAGAACAAATCCCCTAAAAAATTCTTCTTATTCTGGAAAGTCAGTCTGTTTGCTTTAAAAAGCAGTTGAACTGATTATCCAGGAAAGGAGGAGAAGGTGAATGAAAGCGGAAGAAAAACAGCATAGACTTCAGGGCAGAAAGGAACTTTAATGAGGAGAGGAGAAGCCAAAGAAGAACAATGAAGGGAATGTGAATTGGAGGTCTTTTGATTCACACTTTGTTCAGGTAGAAGCTAGTTCCGGTAAAAAACAAAACAAAACAAAACTTAGACTGTGAAATATGCTCTTTATTTGTAGGGATATAAGTTATTTAAAGTTTTCCTGAGAATTATACCCCATCATGTTCCAGGTCTTTATAACCTGCACTCTATAGACAATCAAAAACCTTTTCCTGTGGTCTCTTACAAAAGCTGTTATGGAGAGTTGACAGTACTGAGTACCTAGATAACAAATTCTTCCTTGCAATAATCTCATGTTTAAATAGAGAAAAGCTTTTCCCTTGGGTCCTAGAAAAATATGTGCAGATCAATTTCTTGCATACTGAGGAGAAAAGGTCCAATTTGTTTTGTATCTTCCTTTGCACAAAATCTGTGGGTTTGTAGCAGCTTTGTTATAGATACATCATTAGGGCCCACATCAGGTACCAGCACCAGGAAAAAAATCTCACATTTCTAAGGTTTTTAAAGATTGCTCTCAGCTTCCACTGTAGCAGCTATAGAATCTTCCTGTCTTTGATTCTGGAAAAAAAATTTACCTCTTACAAATCATGTTTCTTAAAATTATACAAGTAATAAATAGACACATATTTGTGTTTTAAAATACTAAATAATACTGATGTTCATAGAATAAAAAATTAAAGTGTCATTTGCAATCCTTCTTTTCCATCAACTTACTCTCTTAATTTCCACTGGACTACTTTTAAATTTTGGTATATTTCCGGAATTTTATAATAAAAGTAAATCATGGTTTCCTTGAACATGAACGGATGCTAGAACCCCAAAAGTCCTCCTCTCATGATGTTTCCCAATTATTATCTATTACTTCCCTATAAAGGTAAGTGCTATCTTGACTTTTAGGTAATCAATTCTTTCTAGTTTTACCAACTAGGCTTGCGTCCCTAAACACTTCAGTTTAGCCTGGTTTCACACTTTGTATAAATGGATTAATAAAATATGTATTCTTTTGAATCTTTTTATATTCAACATTATATTTGTGAGATTCATCCACAAATATAATGATATACAAAGAAACCCAAAAAACAAAAACTAAACTCATTGCCATCAAGTCGATTCTAATAGTGATCCTGTAGGACAGAGTAGAATTGTCCCATAGGGTTTCCAAGGAGGGGCAGCTGGTGAATTCGAATTGCTGACCTTTTTGGTTATCAGCAGAGCTCTTAACCACTATGCCACCAGGGCTCCAGTGTATAGTTCATTTAAATTGCTATGCTGAGTTCTATTAGAATATTATACGTCATTTTATTCACTATTCACCCATTTGGGTTATTTCCACTTTGGGGCTACTATGAATAATATTGCTATAAATAGTTCCTGAAAGTATATCTTGGTACATATGTGCACACATTTCTGTTGGGTGCATACCAAGGATTGAAATTACTGATCAGAGGGTACACACATCTTCATCTTTTGTAGATAACGCCCTCAATGTTTTCAGAGTTGTTGCAATAATTTATACTCATACCCTGAGTGAGTTTTTTTAATCCATAATCTTTACCAACACTTGGAAATGCCAGTATTTTTAAATTTAGCCATTCCATTAGATACTTAATAGCATCTCATAGTAGTTTTTAACTTAGTTTAATGTTATTATTGAGATGGTTGCCAATGATGTCTGACATTTTGCTATTTGTTTTCTACGTATTACATGTCTTTTGTGTTCCTCCTTTATCTTATTAAACAGGTACTTTCTGCATTTCATTTTAATTCCTTTGTTGATTTTTTAAAACTATATTTTTGGGGGATTTCTTAAGTCATTGCTCTAGGGATTACCATATGCATTTTATCACAATCTACTTCAGATTAATACTAATTAAATCTATATTTAAAATATGTAAAATATAGCAACATTGTTCCAATATAGCTCTATTCCTTCCCCCTTTCTTTGTGCTATTATTGTCATCTACATCTATATATGTTATATATTACGAGCCCTGGTGGTACAATGGGTAAGTGCTCGACTGCTAACCAAAAGGTTGGTGGTTTGAACCCACCAGCTTCTCCACAGGAGAAAGATGTGGAAGTCTGCTTCTGTAAAGATTACAGCCTTGGAAACCCTATGGGGGCAGTTCTACTCCGTCCTGTAGGGTTGCTGTGAGTTGGAATTGACTGATCAGCACGGGTATGTTATATATTCAACATTATAGTGTTAAAATTATTGCTTTGTATAATCCTAACTCTTAAAAAGTTTAAGAAAGGAGAAAACATGCATCTATAGAGCAGGGGTTGGTAAACTATAGCATGTGGGCCAAATCTGGCCCATTGCCTGTTTTTGTAAAACAAAATTTTATTGGAACAAAGCCATGTCCATCCATTACGTATTGTCTATGGATGCTTTCATGCTATAAGGCAGAGTTTAGTAGTTGTGACTAATGGAATTAAGGTTGCTAATCAGTTGACCTTAAAATAAGGAGATTATCCTGGATTGTATAAGTGGATCCAACTCTATTTATGCAATTATCTTTTAAATCAGATATACAAAAATACACCAGTTTTTATAATTATCTATGTATTTTTTTTTTTTACTAGTGCTCCTTATTTCTTGGGTAAAGAGAATTACAAAGGTGATTATAAGAACAGTATAATCCAGCATAATTTCTTTATTCTAGAGTCCCTGGGTGGTGCAAATGGTTAACATGCTGGGCTGCTAACTGAAAGGTTAGAAATTTGAGTCTACACGAGGCATCTTGAAAGAAAAGCCTGCCAAAAAATCAGCCATTGAAAATTCTATGGAGGACACTTCTACTCTGACACACATGGGGTCACAATGAGTCAAAAGTGACTCGATGGCAGCTGGTACTGGTATTTGAGTTCTGAGTCACTTCCTTTCAGTCTAAAGAATCTCGTTATTGTTTCTTGTAAGGCAGTTCTGTTAGTCATACACTCTCTGTATTTATCTGTCAATGTGATGTTGATCGTTCCTGTTTTTCACTGAGATCACCACTGCTTTTAATAATACCTTTGGTCATGGAAATTTCTGTGCTCTTCTCCAAATAAAATCAGCCCCCTTTAGCAGTGAGGCTGCTGGACCTCACAGTCTGACTGACCTACCCAGATAAACTTCTATGCAGTGGAACAGGGGGCAGGGCGAATGGGAGCAGCCCCAAGCTAAAACACCACTGAGATCCACTGTCCTTACTGAGGTTCAGATTTTCTTGAACAAACACTTCTCAATTTGTTGTATGCCTTTGGTCAATTTCCAGAGTCTTTAGATGGTTGTTTATTGACAGTTTTGTCCAGTTTTCTCATTTCTTTTTAAGGAGATGATTTGCTATGGCCTCACTCAGGCATTCTGGGAGTCTCACTTCACTCTCTACTCCTGGAAAACTCATCTTCCATATAGTCTTGCGGTTACTCCTGCACTTCAGTCAGGTCCTGCTCACAGTGGTCTTTCCTGACTATCCTATGTAAAATAACCTTTGCCTTTTTACTCTGCTTTATACTTCCTTTGTAACATTTTTCATTTCATGACATCTTCTATATTTGTTTACTGTCTGACTCCCCTACTGGAATACAAGCTCCATGAAGGTAGGGTCATCATCTGTCTTGTTCATCACATCCTTACAGCCTATTACAATGCCTAGCAAATAGACCGTCAATAAATATTTGTGAAAGAATGAATGAATGTTAGATATCTAGTTTTTTTTCAAGCTTGTGAGAAAATAGTCATTCTCATAAAGTTTTGTTGGTATTGTGATGTTACAGCATTTTGGGATGCTACTAAACTTGACTCTATTACTAACACTTCTAGGAATCAACCACCTACAGAAATACTAGTCTTGCATGCAAAAATATATGCATTGTTCCCTGTAGCCTGTTTATAATTTAGAAAAATTAGAAGCAAAACTAAACATGCAGTAATAAGGGTATGTTTAATAGTAAGGAAAACAATGAAACTATTAAAAATCATTGTTCCTATATTTCTGTAATGGAAAGATGTTTATGATTGTTGAGACAAATGCACGTGGCAAAGCAATGCGAATATGATTACATAATAAAAAAGAAAACTGTTGTATCTGCTTTTTGTGTAGATTTGGTTGTGTGGGTATAACAGGGACAATATTAAGAGGACAATAACATCTTACTCTGTAAATTTTTTTATTTGCAATTTCATGTATTAGTTTTGTAATTTTATAAACACTAAAGAAAAAATAAAAAGTAAAGGTAATATTATAACATTTCATTTTTATTAGTTCCAAACACATTGCACCAGTGCATTTCATCTACTCATAGAGTGTGCATATTAGAAAGCAACATCTCTTGATTTGCCTGAGAGTACACAAATACTTACCAAATCAATGCAGGTGAAGAGTGAGTATATAAATGCAATGGAAATTTCCAAGTGGTAGGAGACCAATAAAATACGTGACACTTCCCTCCCAAGTTTCTGAAACCAGAAAATAGGGGGAAATCTTGCATTACTGTCTTCAATAATTGCAAACACATTCACTGAAGGAGCTCTTAGTATGACAGTCAAGGAAAACAGAAGAGTAGATAAACCTCTTTAATGATTTTATTTCCCCAGGCATTTCCACTTTGCCTTCTGCTTCAATTTTCCCAGCTTCCACTCCCCCAGCTCATCATGTGCAGCTTCCATCCATGCTCTTTATCGCTCAACGTTCTCCCTTCTTACAACTCTTTCTCATTATTCTCTTCGCTACAGTCCCTGCACAGCTCATTACCCAAACTCTTCAGTAAGTAAGATTTGACTCTCTTTTCTCTAATGATAAGACAGCGCTGAGAAATTTTTTTTTTTTTTATCATTAGGCAATCCTCATCTATTAAAACAGCTATTATTACAAACAGGAGCCCTGGTGGTGCAGTGGTTAAAAGCTTGGCTGCTAACCAAAAGTTTGGCAGTTTGAATCCACCAGCAGCTCCTTGGACACCTTATGGGGCAGTTCTCCTCTGTCCTACAGGGTCGCTATGAGTTGCAGTTGGGCTTTGGTTACATTACAAACTGAATTGACATATGCGGTGATAAAAATCTCACAGATTTTTTTTTAATATATGAAAGAATGAGTAAATTCCAAAAGTTCAAAAACAGTATTTCACTTCGAAGCCTAAGGTGATGGTGATTGCTGAGAATAAATAAAGCAGATTATCTTCTGTTGCTATTGGAAAGATATTATCAACTGTCATATCTGATTGGTGAATTGTATGAATAGTATTGGTGCTCATCTGGAAAATAAATGTGGTTTTTGTGCTAGCTGTGGGAAAACAGTAATATTCAGACCTAGGAAGAATAATATTATAATTCTGTCTCTCCTTCAATTCCTTCTCTTCGAAATCCTTCTGATGCTCCTTCTTCTTCCCTGAGTTTATGTTTTATATGCAAGAAAGTATTAGGTGGCAGGAATTAGATGGTAGGAATGCAGCAACACATAAAATACGCCTGCTTTCTCAGAGTTCAAAATCAAGTAGAAAAGAAAAAAAAAAGATAATATAAGGTAAAATATGATAAGGTCAAATATGTCAAAATGGTAAAAAAAATTGCTGTAAAATTATTGGGAACAGGAAGTTCACTTTAAGTTATTCATATCCAGGAAGGCTTCATAAGGAGGTATACCCATTGCCGTTGAGTAGATTCCAACTTGTAAAGAGGTAAGACCTTTGAAATAAGGTAGGACTGAAAAATGTGAAGGAGGAAAGCAGCATTTTATGCAGGTTTACATTTTTATTAACTTCTTTCTTTGTTACTTATATTGTTACAGAAAAAATTTAATAAAAGTGTGGCAAAATAAGAAATGGAGACATAAAATAGAACAATAAAGCTAAAATACATATCATGACCTACACTATGTGGATTTAAGTAAGAAAAAAACTGAATGCAAAGATGTACATTACATATTTTGAGATAAGGATAAAACAAATAGTGTTCATCATGTATGATATTAACAGAAAGATAACGAGAAGATTGTAGTAGTGGGTTTGAAATGCCAAGGCAAAGACTTTGGGTTTAATTTTGTTGGCTGAAAACACCTAATTACAACATTTTAGCTGGAAAGTACTTGTGACCTCATAGTTGGCAAGAATGTAAAAAGTCATTTTTCCCACATTCCTTAATTTATTTGTTAGTCTCAAATTCTCCCCTTGGGAGTGGCAAGATGTCTTCCAGAGAGCTTCAAATATGAAGACAGAAGAGAGATAAACTGAATTCTTGACACATGATTTGAGCCTCCGGACCCAGCTTAAGTTGCTTTTTTTGCTTAAGTCAATTTGAGTTGTGTTTCCTGTCACTTATAATGGAGAGAACCCTAAATAATAAACATTTAAATAAAGAATAAACAGAATTTGGTAATTGGAAAGATAATAGAGAGGGGTTAAGGATTACATCAATGTACTGAGCCTAGGAGACTGAAACACGGGAGTCTAGCAGTACAGTACTTTAGAACCCCATTGCCACTGAGTCGATTCCAACTCATAGTGACCCTATAGGTCAGAGTAGAAGTGCCCTATAGGGTTTCCAAGGAGCAGCTGGTGGATTTGAACTGCCGACCTTTTGGTTAGCAGCCGAGTTCTTAACCACTGTGCCACCAGGGCTCCGCAGTACTTTAGAGGAGGTATATAATTTCTGTTTTCTATCTACTGAGTTTCAGATGACAGAAGCATATCCAATTAGAAGTCAAGCTGGTCATTACAGCAACAGCCAGGAGTTTGGGAGACAGAAAAATTAAATAAGAGGTACGTATTAACATTTGCTCCATTTTACAGGTAAGGCGACTAAGGGAACATGGGAAGTTAGGGAACTTGTCCAAGGATCACACACAGACAGTAAGTACTGGGGACAGTATATGAATAAAGGCAGTATGGTTTCAGTGTCTACACTACTAACCATTCTGTTATGTGAGAAGCATATTTTACAGGTATGTACTTTTGAGAGTGGCTAAGCCTAGCTGGGAACACTGATAACTCGGTGAGTTTATGGATTTAGCCAAGTCACTTGCTTATGTTAAAGAGTTGGCATATGGAAAATCTCATAAAGTGTTGGATGCCTTAGTAAATGTATGTACATAATTCTATAATGCCACTAGGAAAAGATGGTAGGTTAGAAATATAGGTCTATTATACAAATTCATTTCGTGTAGCTAATTACAGCAAACAAAGCTGAATCTTGTGGGTTTGGAGACTGTGAAACTCATCATTAATGCTGAGTTTAGATCAGATAAATACAGTCTGCAATGATTTGTAATACTAATTGCAAAAGGCAGATCTTGGAAATATGTCATCTTAAACTGAAGACTGCAAGCTTATGGATAAGAGTGGTGAGCTAAAATGAAATAATTTTACATTTAATAACTTATTTTTTCCCTCCCCATTCTCTGCCTCATAATTAGTATTGAAGATTTCTAGATTGAATTTTCTGGGTAACTGAAGAATCTTCTTACAATTTATAGGGAAAATCTGGTGCATGTTTACTTAAATCAATACATCATTGTTGTTGTTAGGTGCTGTCGAGTTGGTTCCGACCGATAGCGACCCTACGTACAACAGAACAAAACACTGCCTGGTTCTGCACCATCCTCACATTGTTAAGCTTGAGCCCATTGTTGCAGCCACTGTGTCAATCCATCTTGTTGAAGGTCTTCCTCTTTTTCAGTGACTCTCTACTTTACCAAGCATGATGTCCTCCTCCAGGGACTGATCCCTCCTGATAACATGTCCAAAGTAAGTGAGACATAGTAGTCTCACCGTCCTTGCTCTAAGGAGCATTCTGGTTGTACTTCTTCCGAGACAGATTTGTTTGTTCTTTTGGCAGTCCATGGTATATTCAATATTCTTTGTCAGCACCACAATTCAAAGGCATCAATTCATTAGTTACACACAAAATTTATTTTGGGGTGTTGATTGCATTTTCTATCATGGCCTGTCTCCTAGGCTTTTATTCTCCATGCCTGGATTCCTTCCACTGATGATCCCCTCTATAATATACTGCAGGAATGGAGAGGGGCAGGAAGTTTCTCTCTCACCTATAATGACTCTTTCACTCATTACTGAAATTGTTATTTGTCTTCTTCTGTTGGTCGGTAGTACAAAGAGGAGCTTGACTCCCACATTTCCTCATTTTAAATGGAAGATCTTTATAGGCATTGCTGAAGTCTTCTGTAGCACTAATATACTATGATTCTGAATTAAAAGCCAACAGGAAAGATGTTTAAATTTACTGGAGAATGTTACTACATTACAGTCATTGGATATTCACGTAAATGGAAGCAAGATGTTACTGTGGTTATGTGCCCTCCAGTCAGTTCCGACTCACAGTGACCCTATGTACAACAAGACAAAACACTGCCCAGTCCTTCGCCATCCTCACAATTGTTGTTATGCTTGAGCCCACTGTTGCAGCCACTGTGTCAATCCATCTTGTTGAAGGTCTTCTTTTTTGCTGACCCTCAACTTTACCAAGCATGGTGTTCTTCTCCAGGGACTGTTCCCTCCTGATAACATGTCCAAAGTATGTGAGATGAAGTTTTGCCATTCTTGCTTCTAATGAGCATTCCGGCTGTACTTCTTCCAAGACAGATTTGTTTGTTCTTCTGGTAGTCCATGGTATATTCAATATGCTTCGCTAACACCATAATTCAAAGGCTTCAATTCTTCTTTGGTCTTCCTTATTCATTGTCCAGCTTTCACATGCATATGAGGCAACTGAAAATACCATGGCTTGGGTCAGGTGCACCTTAGTCCTCAAAGTGACATCTTTGCTTTTAATACCTTTAAGAGTTCTTTCGCAGCAGATTTACCCAATGCATTGTGTTCTTTGATTTCTTGACTGCTGCTTCCATGGGTGTTGATTGTGGATCCAAGTAAAATATTGACAACTTCAATATTTTCTCTGTTTATCATGATGTTGCTTATTGATCCAGTTGTGAAGATTTTTATTTTCTTTATTTTGAGGTGTAATCCACCCTGAAGGCTGTGGTCTTTGATCTTCATCAGTAAGTGCTTCAAGTTCTCTTCACTTTCAGCAAGGAAGGTTGTGTCATCTACATATTGCAGGTTGTTAATGACTCTTTCTCTAATCCTGATGCCATGCTCTTCTTCATACAGTCCACCTTCTCAAATTATTTGCTCAGCATACAGATTGAATAAGTATGGTGAAAGGATACAACCCTGATATACACCTTTCTTGATTTTCAACCATGCAGTATCCCCTTGCTTTGTTCGAACGACTGCCTATTGGTCCATGTACAGGTTCCTCATAAGCACAATTGTTATGGAATTCCCATTCTTTGGAATGTTATCCATAATTTGCTTTGACCCACACAGTCAAATACTTTTCCATAGTCAATGAAGCACAAGTAAAAATCTTTGATATTCTCTGCTTTCAGCCAGGATCCATCTGACATCAGCAATGATATCCCTTGTTCCACGTCCTCTTCTGAA